GTGCACTTTGAATGTCAGGTGACACGATGGTACCTGTCAATCAGTTCAGTAGTTTGTCCCAAAGTAAACGCCCCTCACCTGGAGGACAGAGTTACAGGGTCCATCATGCGGTTAGAGATTTGGAGGAAAATAATCAGGAGAAAATGGTTAAAAGTTGTCAGTGGGGAACGTTTAGAGGACGGAATGGACTTTATTCCACTGGCCGACCTGATTGTCATGATGTGTAGAATGATGGACCCAAAAGGTGAGCAGGGCCAGATTTAGGAGGGTGTGGGGCCCTGGGCTTCAGCCAAGGTGCCTCATATATATTTAACTTTGAAATATAATTTTATTAATTAAACCAACAAATACAATGAAGAACATGCAAAAATATTCATATTCATTTATTTTTATACTAATCTTTCTCTTTTTGACTGCTTGATCATAAATAAAACTTATTTTCTGTTGAAATAAGTTGAAGTAAATGTTTTTATGCAGAGAACAAAACTAGTAATAGAGAAAATATGAAATAACAATAAAAATTATACAACCAGATAAAAATGAAGGCCAAAAGACTGAACAACAAAGTTTTTAACATCTTTATGGACCTCAGAACAGATGACCACAGCGCCACCTAAAGGCCAGGAAATGTCCAGCAGCTGCTCAGTTTGAAAACTTAAAATTTTCCTCCAAAAGTGACTTTAAGCTTAAGAACAAACTGGTTAGTTTCTTAGTTTGTTCAAACTTTTTTATTTTGGTTGAAATAAAATTAATGTCACATCAAAGATGGAAAAACTTTTTAAATGATGAATTTTATAGTTTCACATTTTTTTTACAGTTTATTTTTCTTTTCCATCCGCTCTTATTAATATAACTTTATTGCTTTTAGAAATGTTACATGCAAACTTTATTTTCTTCAGTTTAATCCATTCGAACAGGAATAATGTTTTATATTCATTTAAATGTTTTTCTGGATTTCTTTTTACATTTCTGTCGTTTTATTCTGAAAAACTTTATAAAATAAAAGCTTATAGTTTAAATCTCAGCAGGATGTTTTTTTTTCCTGCTTTCTGTTTTCACAGATTTAATGCAGCAACATGTGCTGCATTCATAATTAATATCCATTTTCTGCTTGTTGTTTGTGTTTACCTAACATTTCACTTCATGCCAACAAAGCAAGAAAAAACACACTAATGGATTTTGGTTGGTCGTTTGTCTCTAACAGCAGCTGACAGCCAGTCGCTGCAGAACCGGCTCTGAACCTGTCAGTGACCAAACAAGTTGGTCCTAAAAGTGAATCTAATTTATGGCAGGTTTTCATTTCTACCAATGAAGGAAGAGCTGGAGGGAAAGTCAGAGAAAAACAGCAGAAATCCAAGAAAACTCTAGAAAACTGAAAACGTTGCAGCGATTTCTGGATCAAAGGAAGAAAAACAGAAGAAAACAACAACTGGATCATCAGGGTTATTTGACCTTTAACCTTTTGGTTTGTTTCTGGGAAAGCTTTGAATTTAGACACCCTGAAAGACACACACCTACACACACACCTGGTTGTGACTGCTTCACTGTCTCAGCATGCCTTCGTAGAAACACAGTGAGGAAATCCCTGCTGCAGCGACACATCGGATGAAACATCAACCTGATGAAATCCTGCAGTTCAGGTTTACAGAAACCTGCTCAGTTCCTGAGCTGATCAGACTTTTATTATGCTAAAGACAGAAACACTTTACAGGCTCAGAGGAGAAACTGGAAGCTGGTCAGAGTTGATGATGAAATGTGTGGAAATCAAAACGTTCCTGAAGAAAACCTGAGAGACGTTTTAGATTCAGAAGCATTTAGAATAAAGAATAAAGTTTAAAAGTACATGTTTGGAGTGGAAACGTGATAAAACATGAAAAATTTCAAACAAAGGAAAACTGGGAAACATGGAGCCGTTAACGTCACATTAATCATTTAAACACAAGAGGAAAAAAGCCAAAAACAGAAACAAGTTAAATATGTAAACAAGAGAAGAACCAGATTCATAACTAACGATCTGGAGGATTAATCTGAGTGTGTTGGATCAGTAATCAGTGGGAACGCCCTCAGGCGGTAAACTCAGTCTGGATGAGGATCCGCTTTGATCCGATCGGACCCCAGCAGAACCTCTGCTGGATGAAGGAGGATCAGATCATCTCAGTGGTTCTGACTGGTTTGATGTTTGGTTCGTTCTGTTGTTCAGATTCGATAAATACAGGCTGTAGATGTGAAAACGGGGCTGTTAAACGGCTCTGCTGTAAATATATTTTTATTAAAAATAAAAGTAGAACTCAGGTTTGGAGTTTTTAGATGAAGTCAAACCAAAAACCTCCACAGATAAACTGAACTTTGAATCAGTTTTTATGTTTCTGTTTTTCTGCTGCCTTCCTGTGAATCAGGTTGTTTCAAACCATCATGTTAAACTTTTACAATCAGTGAATATAAAACGTTCAGACGTTGTTTTAAACACTGATAAATTAACTACAGAGATCAAGTTTGACGCACAGAAGGAGATAAAATGTTTAAATTAGTTACATTTTATTCTACCACTGTGGAACCATAAATGATATTTCTGATGTTCGCAGCTTGTTTTGTGGTTCTGGCGCCTCAGACCAGAACCAGAAGGACAGAAATGTTCTGCTTACAGCTCAGTTTGTTTTTCTCTTCAGGAATGAAATTAAATTCACTGGAAGGTCAGAAAACCTTCCAGTTTTAAAATAATCCAGATTATCGTTAGGGTGACATCTGGGTAAAAACCAGAGAAATAAATGGATCCGTCACTTTAAACCAGGTGAAACAAACAGTCAGCAGAAAGTTTAAGGTTTATTTCCATAATTAATACTTATGAAGCTTTAAACCGTAATAAACTTTAATCTGGATGAAGCAGGACGACCTCCAGCTGTTAATAAAACAGAAAAACTGTTTTAATCTGCATTTCTGAGGTTTGACTTCAGCTTTATGACTTCAGTCCTGGTTTCTGGTTTTTATACATTTTTTACTTTAGTTTTATTTCTTCATTCTAATTTCATGTTCGACGTTCTGATTCAGGTGTTTGTTGGTTTCTGACAGTTTTCTGCTAAATGTTTTAGTTTTTATTTAAACAAAGTCAGATTTGATTTAAACCTTTTCACCATTAAGATGTGATTATTTTCATTTCGGTTTTTGTGTTTTGTTCTTCCTGAATTTCTTCACTGTAGAAGGTAATAGATTGTTGCACTGTGGCGCCATCTGCTGGCTGCGGACTGTCAGCGTTTCCACTTTCAGATTCAGAAATGAGCTCCATTGAACAGATGCAGTCCTGACTCAACATCTTGTCCTTTTTCATTTCAGTGCTTTTTTTTAACAGCAACTTTATGAAAAATTATTAAGTCTTTTCCTTATGGGCAATCTGGCTCACCACCCAGGGCGGCATTGTTTGGGGGCAACAGCAGCACTCTGAACAAGTGAGCCACCAGTTTCACCATAAAGTGTCCAGTGTCTGTTTTTATAAACTCTAAGAAAATTCAGCTCAGTGCAGCCGAATACAGACGCCGAAGAGCAAAACTAGAGTTTCATTGTTTTAACCGGAAATCAAGACCTGGACACACATTCCTAGATTTATAAAACATCCAGAGTGGAGCGCTGGTCAGATGGATGATGGATGGATGGATGGATGGATGGATGCTGTGGAGATTTTTGTTTTTAGCTCTGAATCTTTCCATTTGGTCGAGACAATATCACATCATACATTTTTACATAATTTGCTTTGAGACCTAAAACTGAAAAACCAACCAAAGTCCAAAAATGCTACAGAATTATTGATGAGAATCACTGAAAATAAATCTGATCAGGACAGAAAGTATTAAAGAATTAAAGGTGCTTCAGGTTTCTGTACGGTGGATTACTTCATGTTTGGTGTAAAATTGTGAAAATTTCCTAAAATAACCAAAAGATTTCAGTTTTTTTCAGAGTGAAACTGAATTGATTCAGATTTTCTTTGGGTCCGTTTTGGTTTCAGACTCGGTCCGGAGGCAGTTTTACCTTTTCCACCTACAGGAAGATGAAACTCCCCACCTGCAGGATTAAAACGTCACTAATTAACCCCAATTTGTTGTGATTATTATGGGATGTGCTGCTTCTGAGTGGGGCTGTGGGATCGTCTCTGTGGGAGTGGTCTCCTGCAGGTCACATGGTCCGGGCCTTTGTTGATGTGATCCGGGGGAGAAAGAACAGGAGCACGGAGAGAAAAGAAAGAAAAGTACCGGTCCGACTCCGACCCACCGAGCCTTTCCGCCCAGCCTCCCCGGCGCACAGACGCTCCTGCTCGGCCTGGATGCTGCAGCTGCGGCCCCTCCGGAGCTCCACCTGGATCGGTAGTTCCGCGGCGCCCCGCGGTCGGTTCTTCTCCCCGCCGGTTTGAGCGCTTGGCAGCGGGGGCTGGGGGATGGAGGCTGTGTCCGGGCTGTGAGGTGTGGGGGTCGGTGTGTGCAGCCCCCCGGGCCCTCTGCTGCTTTGTTATCCCTCCTCCCGGCTTTCTCCTCGGCTTTTCCAGCCTATTTCCTCTGTAAGTGATTCTCCTGGAAGCCCAGAGGAGTTTCAGGAGGACGCATGGACACAAAGAGGATTTAAGGATTTTATTTTTTGGCTGATCTCTCTTTCTCTCATTCCGGATCAGTTTAGAAGAAGAAGGAGCCAGAAAAACCCAGATTCCTTCTTTTCACCCATTTTTTCCTCAAACCTCCATTCAGCTGCATCTCTCCGTTACCCCCAGCCCCCTCCACTCCTCTCTGTCCGTCCATCATGGCTCCTCTGCGCCGGGTCTCCTGGTTCTGCTGCCTGCTGGTTCTGCTGGGTCTCCCCGCAGCCCGGAGCTCGTTCCCCCGCAGCGGAGGAGGCGGCAGCCCGGACTGCGGCCCCGGGAAGGCCGCGGAGTGTCCAGGTGAGACACACACACCTGAAGCTGCAGGTCAGAGGTCACTGGCTGCAGCCTTATTGTTTCTACCCGCTGATCACGTGATTGAGCTGTTGTCATCCCCTGTTGTCATGACGACCGAGCAGGATGAGAAACCAGGCGCATCTCAATGATAACAGGAGGTTCAGCAGGTTAATGAGACCACCTGATGCAGTCAGACCCACAGATGTGTGTGTGTGTGTGTGTGTGTGTGTGTGTGTGTGTGTGTGTGTGTGTGTGTGTGTGTGTGACCACTCCTCAGTTCAGGCCGGGTCTATTCTGGGTTTAATTACAGGCTGGGAGGAACTGGGCGAGGTCGGCCCGTTTCTGACAGATTCATCAAACCGCAGCTCAGATTTACGGCAGCTGACCTCAAACAGAACCTCAGCTGCATCTGACCGCCGAGACCGGAGGGCAGAGAGTTACAGCGGGTCAGTCAGCTGCAGCCTCATAACCTCTGAAACCTGCAGATTTACTGCGAACGGGATGAAATCCAGTGATTAAAGAATAATCTGGGATCACTGAGGTGTTGATGAACGACTCAGACGCTCTGACTGCTGAACCCATCAAACATCTCCGGCTCTGAAGCCCAGAGGACGTCAGTGTTATCCAGACCTGCTGTTCGTCTCTCCAGGCTCCAGTTTCACTGCAGCTCCTCATTTCACACGTTTCAGTTGCGTTTCTGCTTTAATG